CTTCTCGAGCTCTTCTCTGAGCCCTTGGTACTTTTCCAGCTTCTTGTGTTCCTTCTTCCTGATGTTGCTGTCATTCGGTATTGCTACGTCTATCACTACGGCCGTCTTCCTGTGCTTGTCCACCACTACTATATCTGGTTGGTTAGCCATCACTATTTATGTCCATCTGTATCTGGATGTCCCACAGGACCTTAGCTCGGTCATTCTCGACCACCCTAGGGGGTGTCTCCCATTTTGACCTCCGGACATCCAGGCCATGCTTGGCACACACTATGCCGGCCACTTGGTTATGGCGTTCCATGTATGCCCTGCCTGCTAGAATCTTGCACTCTGCTGTGATGTACTGGAGCATCTTTACACAGCCTTCATCTGGGGCCTTGCCTGGTGTGATAGACCCCAGCCTCTAAGGATCTTGTACTTAGAGCTTGTTCATGTGCTTCCATGATTAGAGCCTCTGTGCTGTCTTTCAATCCAGCTTTGTCAGCCTGCTGGTAGGATTTCTAGATGTCAGCCACTTCCTCTATCTGCCGGAGGGCTTGTCCGTCCATGATGGTTCCTCCTCTTGCTCTGCTTTCTTGGGTTGCTGCTGCCTCAGGTATTCATTGAACCTGGTTAGTTGTGGCCATCTTCCTGATATAACCGAGGATGTTTGTTGTCTCATCTTCGACTGTGGTACTGACACTCACTAGTCCCCGGCCTCCTTCCTTCCGCTAAGCGTACAGTTTCAGGGTGCTGGACTTGGGATGAAACCCTCCATGCATGGTCAGGAGCTTCATTGTATTGATGTCAGTGGCTTCTATCTTCTCCTTTGGCCAACTTATTATTGCAGCAGGGTACCTGATCGTGGGCAGGGCGTGGGTGTTATAGCCCAGATCTTGTTCTCTTCATTCAGCTCACTCCTCAGGACTTGCCTGACCCTCTGCAGGAACTTAGTGGTTGCGGCTTTCCTAGCGGCCTCTGCGTAGTTCCCATTTGCCTGTGGGATTCCCATGTACTTGTAGCTGTCTTCGATGTCTGCAATGTTGCCTATGCAGAACAGCAGTGGGAACAGCGCATCTCCTTGGTAGATCCCACACTTGATGGTGACTTGTGCTATGGGCTTGAAGTCGACCTCTATTGTTGTACCCATTGAGTTTGTGATGAAAGCTCTTAGAGTCCTAAAACATGGTGGAGGTAGAGATTGCATGTGTGGTTAAGAGTTTAAGTGAGTCACTAGTGTTTATTGATGATTTAACTGCTGATAGCAGTAGCAGGATCAACCTCAAGTGTACAGAATCTCTTCATTGTATCAGTGAGCCTTTTACATGAACCAAGCCTTTTGGACTCTTATCATCCATGGAAAGTACTTCTGGAACTTCCTCAAAGGACTTGATGATTTTTTCCATTAAATTCAAGATGAAGGTCATCATGCATTACATGACATTAAGTGTTTATAGATTAATGTCAAACCGTTTTCTTTTCCCGTTAATGAGTGTACATTTTCCGAATTTCTTACAGTTTGCATTTTAGAATTCAAATTTGTAACAGTCTTTTCATTTCTTTTATTATTATTATTTTTGTTGAAAAACAATAAAAATCTAATCAGGCCAGCAAGCAGGTGTTATTGCACAGGGATTGGTGTAATACAGGTTTATACTTCCGAATTAATTTTTTATAGTACTTTCAAGCTCAGAATTGGATATGAATAATGGAGTCATTTCAATGAGTTCATGTTTACTTATTATTTTTTTTATAATTACAAAAATAAAAAACAAAAACAAAATAATTTTTCAACTATGAGATAAAGTATTTCTCATTCTCTCTGTAAGTCAGAAGCATAGATGACACCTTTTGGCTAGCAACAATATTATAAATAGTAAATGCATCTCTGACTATTCACACCAAGCACATTTATTCTACATCTAAGTACTTGGAACCTGTGTACTTTTAAAAGACCAGGCTTTTCAGGCTCATCAGAACTCATGAGGCTCCCTTACTTAACCTCCTCAAGAATCCCTGAAATCCTGTTAAGTGTTTCCTCTGGGATTTTTTCCCCACTCCAAGACCCCTATAACATCATGTAGGCTTTTTTTATTTACCACAAGTCTTTGCCTTTGAGACTTGTTTCAGTTGATTTGTATCCCCTTTAAAGCATCTAAAACTCTAAAGATTTCATTTCAAACTCTAAGCAGCAATATGTTTTCCTCAAAACGTCGCCCCTGATGTAGATAGTAGAAAAAGTCAGTCAGTTTTACAGTAAGGTGTGAATTATTTTGATTGCTTTCAAGTCAGGGCCAAAAGTGAACAGTTACTTTTGGTGAGTTCACTTCATGCACTACAGGAAGCTAACATGATCAGCTGCTATCTTGTTAAGTTGCCAGTCAACCTAGCAGGGGGTAAAGTTGCACTGAGCTGAGCTATCTAATCTGCTGTTGTGTTGTGGCACAACCAAGGTCACAAACAAGAGTCAGGAGGCTGAAGTGACCTGATAGCTTAGCAGTTAGAATGCATTTCACATGGGGAAAATAAAATAACTTCAAGCTGTGAGTCCCCTGTTTTTCGCAAGTCATTCCTCTGCCTTCTTTCCACTCTAACTATCCAATGATGCCAAAACTTCTTTCTTTTTAATGTACTTTCTCTATGCATCCTTTCCCATTGCTCATTGAAGCTTAACCTATAAAAGAAATCCAAATTTAACAACAAAATGTAGCCTTTTAAAAATATTTAACCAGTTATACTGATAGTTACACTGATAAATATAGGATATAGTGGTAAGGTATGTTTTTAAAGAGAGTGTTTTTTTGGCTTTAAATGGGTGTCAATCATAATCAGGCACTGCAAATATCCAATCTGTAAAAGAATTACAACACAATGCAGAAAGCCTGAATGGGAGAGTCAAGGCTGTAGCGGCACATTTTCATATTCAGCCATCACACATTTTTTGGCTGTGTAGTGTATTTTAGCAACTGACAACTGAAGGGAGGGAAGTGAAGGAATGCAGGGTCTGTTCTAGGAGAAAAAAACAGAGGACCAAGTGAGTTTTTCAGTTACAGTCAGAATTCTTCTGCATATCATTCAGCTCAGCCATGTTGGATTTGTGTGGGCCCAGTTAAACTTTCCCGAAACAGGTCTGTGTTGGCGGTAGCTGGGCGGGAACTGACCGCGGTGCTGATAATCTGCAGCGTGGTGTACTGCATCAAAGCAGCGGGAACAACCACCGGTGTATGGCCTTCAAAATAAAAGGATGGAAAGTGTATAATATTTGCTAAGCCTTCATTGGCAGACAAAACATCTATGTTACACGATTTATGTCCTTTTATTCTGTTTATATAGTTTTAAGGATGTTTTTCTTAGGTGCACTGTACATGGGTTCCTGTATGAGGTGGGAGAGACTCCAGCAAGCCAGGGGATTTTTTTGTGTGTTCATTTTTCATGCAGAGCAAAGGTTTAGGGTGTTGATTTATTATTCATTCAAATGTTTTAAGTTTACTCTGTGTAATTATTCTTTTCAATTTTACTTAAAAAAACAACACGTTTTATCATAGTTTTAATTTGGACATTATCATAATATATTTACTATTGTACTTTCTGCCGTGCCAAGGGTGTATCTTCATGCTTGAGTTAAAAAAACAAACAAAAATCGGGGGGCTTTTTCTTTTATTTTGAAGAAACCCTACGGAAGTTGGTTTGCTTATTTTAGTTTGGTTGTCAGTTTAAGCTTTACCAAAGCTGCTAAGTGTGAAGGCGACGGCTGTTGTCAAATCAGTGACAACGGGGTGAGAAAAAGACGCAACCTGCTGAGTTTCTTCATTCACATGAACGTAGCATAGGTTTTCCGGTAGCCAGTTTCATACCAGTAGTTAAACGCAAAAGGCCCAGGTGAAACACAACATAGGGCTGTATGAGTTAACCATCGGTTTACTACAACAACAATGGCATGCACCTGTCTAACGCAGACATGAATTATTAATATCAATTAGTTCGAAAGCTAAAGTGAATAGTGACCGTTTGCATCGGTCAAGTTTGACTTTAATGATGCGTTCAAGGACGCGTCGTCAGCTCCGTCCCCAAGGTGGTAAAACTAACATCCTATGCTTTGCTGATGCTGATTTCCACTCACCCGCGATGAAACGGTCCGCATCACCAGATACATGGAAGTCAGCAGCGTTAACATGGTGCCGCTGGTGTTTAGTTGTCTTCTACTAAAAACAGACGTCCTCTGAAGCAGAAATGGCGCCTCAGTAACGAGAGAAAGACACACAGAGAGGGAACGACACACAGACACCCTCAGAAAGAGAATACGGCAGGCGAGGATCCCACCGCGACACCAAAAGCGACTGTACCCGCGGTGCAGTCACATTCACGGCTTCTTGTTTCTCGTATGCCCGAGTCACACCTCCACTCTCTACCTATACACACACATTAACACACAAACACGCACGATTGCTGCAGTCCGTCTAGTCCCTTAATGAGATTTTGAGGACGCAAATAGCCTCTGACCAAACCGCTAAAGCTTTTCCTCTGCAACCATAGGTGTAAATTAATCGTCATAATGGGCGTAATATAGTAGTGCTTTTCTAATAAGAATATCTGTAGTAGGTGACGTCACTGCAGGGGAACGGGATATCATGGCTGCTCCAACCCAAAATGTATGTTTTTCAGGTCACATGAGGACTGCTGCAGAATCAACGCTGTCTTGGAAGGAAAGCAAGGGGCAATAGTAATGCAGGTGTTGATACAGAGATGTGCAAAGACATTCAGACAGGGCTCGATTTAAAGACAGAAAAACTCACAATGTTCAAATAAACTGTTTTGAGGTTAGGGAAGTTCAGGTACAAGAAAGTTGGCCACAATTATATTTGATCATGTAATAATCAAGCTATTGTTTCGTGATTAATTGATTTAACTACTCTTTTGATGATAAATGTTCAAATGGGAAGATGGAACCTAAAGTATATTTACATTTTAAGGAGACTAAGGTGAAATATAAGTTTGGACACACCTTCTCATTTAATGTTTTTTCTTTATTTTCACTTCTTTCTACATTGTAGATACATACTGAAGACGTCAAATATATGAAGATAAATAACTCTAAATATATTGCTGTGTTGACAGCGCCGCAAACCTTTGGCCTTCTCTCACTGAGCTTCATGATGTAGTCACCTGAAATGGTTTTCACTTCACAGCTGTGCCTTATCAGGGTTCACTTGTGGAATTTCTTGCCTTCTTAATGAGGTTGGGACGATCAGTTGTGTTGTGCAGAAGTCAGGCTGGTACAGAGCTGACAGCCCTATTTGACAACTGTTAGAATTCATATCATGGCAAGAACCAATCAGCTAAGTAAAGAGAAATGACAGTCCATCATTACTTTAAGAACTGAAGGTCAGTCAGTCTGGAAAATTGCTAAAACTTTGAATGTGTCCCCAAGTTCAGTTGCAAAAATCATCAAGCGGTATGACAAAACTGGCTCACATGAGGACCGCTGCAAGAAAGACTGTTAAATCTTTCAGTGTTTAAAAGCAAGGCTCCATTGTGTAAATTAGCATATTTATGCATAGTGTAGCAGTAGTGTCTACTTTAAAATCACTTTAAAAAGCTAGTGTTCACAAAGAAAGATGCAGAGTTGCAGTAAGCTGCAATAAGTAAACATACTGATGCCAGTAGCTGTGCGTGCTGACATTGTTCACAAAGGACATTTTACATGCTGGCAGGTTTCTGACTGGGGGACCTGTACCCATTAAGATCATTCTGTGAAATCTTTATGGGTCAGTTAGTGATAGATTTGAACATTTTCTCCCCTCTTATGCACAGATGCAGCACTGATTCATTCTGTGAGTTATATGCCTTTTGTATTCTTGTACTATTCTTAAGTCAGAATGAAGTCGTTTAACAAACATTCCTATGAAAGTAGTCAGGTGGAGACTGACCAATAATAACTGAAAAAGTATCCAATACACACTGAAGAAGTTGAGTTTTGCACAGTACTGTGTGTATTATCATTTCGCTTTAAATACTGCAGCTATTTAGGGAAGGGAAACAGAAAAAGAACGGTAGACACAAAGTAACTCCTAAAAACTATACAATACTTTTCAAATGATTGTGTTTCATACTGTTGCACCTGCTGACTCCTGTCAGTAGAGGTCACTATATGCATACAGGTGCAATATGGTGGCTTCTCTTTTGCAGTCAGAGGGGTCATGTTTCAAGAATATTTGGAGTAGAAAATAGTTAAGCACACGTGAATATGTATACAGAAATTAAAGAAGGTTATTTCAAATAGTTAATAGTAATGTCAATAATTGTGTGAGTCTATATATTAATATTAATAAACTCTCTCCAACTGCTCTGTGGA